CGAGGTGAGGGGCCCCTGTGCCGCTGGGGATTAGACTGTGTGCTGCTCCAGGGGGTGTGGGGGGCTCCAGACGGCATCGGCCCAGGGCTCCAATGGGCTCGGCAGCACCCCAGCCCTGTGCCAGGGACACAACCCGGCCATCATGGCTCTCCTCCAGACCCACGGTCCCAGGGCACCCCCAAAACCCTGCAGAGGGTCTCTGGGCATTGCAGGAGGGATGCTAACCCCAGCAGAGAGGTTGCTCCCTCCTTCAATGAAGCCACCATGTCCCTGAGCCCATGCCAAAACCTCTGCCTTGAAGCCAGAATGTGGGGGGGTACAAAAACCCCCTGGAGCCAACCCTGTGGGATCCCTGCGGAGCCAGCTCTGCCCTGGGGCTGGCAGCACAAACCCACACTCGCCCGCCCCATCATCTCCAAGCTGCGAGCGGGGCGATGCCTCACCGAGGCCACTGCCAGCAGCACGGCTCTCCTGGGAGGGAGCACGTTGCCATCCCCATGCGCAGGTCTCACCTCCCCGCTGTCCCCTTCCCGTGCCCCAGTGAAAACCAACACACCCCCTGCGTTGTTAATACCCCAAAATGCCACATGTGGCCCTCTGAGGGGGGAACAGACCCTTCACCCTCCTTCCCATCAGCAGCCCTCCTGGAGCTGCCTGAGCACAAGCCCTGTGCCTTATCAGAATCAGATCATTGCTTCTATTATTACATTTTTTTTCTATTAAGCTCCATCTGCACAGTATTATTTTAAGACAGAGCCATCCTGCGCATTTTCAACCCCCCACCGGCCTGTTAGGACTCATCACGGACACCTCCTCCTACAGAGTCCTCGAAAAGAAAACATGTAGAAATTAGGTACAACAACAGTACATAAAACAACGCTAATAACTCGCAGGTCAGAGTTAATTCAATAAGAATAACATGCTTATTTATTTTATGGGCCTTTGTGGTTTCTAACTCTCAGTACCCAGCTTATTAAGTGCTTGGATTTTGGAAGTGATGAGCTACACAAATATGATGTGGTCACTTGGCAACCTCATCTTTTCTTTCTCTAACCCCCCCCCAAATGAAGGGATTTTGCTCTTGGGATACTAAACAGACACATGTGTGTGCAGGCACCAGGGCCACCCGGGTGCTGCTCTGTGCTTTAACCAGCACGCAGGACACGGGGCACCAGCTGGACACACTACGCTCCCTTTTCACCCTCAGCCCTACAGAGGGGGACCCAGAAGACCTTTATGGAGAATTCTCCAGGATGGACTGAGCACAGCCCGCAGCTCAGATCTGGACAGGCGTTGGGTCTGCCTCTGCAGGGCTTGCCCTGGCTTTGGGATGCTGTTGTGTTCTCCGGGGCTCAGCAGCTGCCCTTGAAAGCTTTATGATACCCAGAGCTGCAGAACCGACTGGATATCGGGGAGAGCAAGCCCACTCACGCTGGCAGCAGCGGCACCCAGTACCCTGCCTGGGGAGCACTCACCCGTCCGCATCCTGGTAGTTCACGTTCAGGCGCTTGGCAGATCCCAGGAGCTCTGCAGAGAGAAGAGGCGAAGGTCAGGGCAGGAGACAGAGCCCGCACTGCGCCGCACGAACCCCGTCCTGCAGCCGCACCGACCTCCCAACGCGCAGAACAGTGCCTGGCCCATCCCGGCGGCCTCTCCTCTCCTCTCCCTCTACGTTCACCTCCACAAACCCTCAACGAGCTGGCCCAGCTCAAACTCAGACCCTTTCCTCCTTCTGTCCCTCCTGCCCCATCTCGGCGGGCCCCCAGGATGGGTTGGACCCCGCAGCTCCTGTCACCCCGGCTCGCTGGGACAGCACTTCCCTCCCCTTTATAGGCAGCAACACCCCAAAACTGCTGAGTGGGGCTGTTCCTCCCCCCACTCGCTCCCTGTGCCCGCTGCTGCCACCCAAGCCTGGCCCACAGACCACATGGTTGGCATTTTTACGGCTGGGGCAGAGGCTGAAGCCTCCAGCCGTGAATGCGAGGATTGTGCCACCTCGGACATCCCCATCCCCTCGTCCGTCCCTCCCTCCCCTTCGGGGACCACTGAGCGGCGGAGGATGCTCACCCCACCCTCGGCACAGCCTCACGCGCACCCCCAGCTCCCCGCTCCTTCCCGCAATTAATTCGAATGAATTCCTTCCTCCCACACAGAGAGGACGTTTTATTCTTCACGGAGGGGTTGAGAGCGGATTAACATCTCTGGAATTCATCCACTAAGTCAAAAGGGAAAGAAAGGGGAAGGTATGCGGGGGGCAAGAAATGCCGCCGCTCCTCCTTCTCTGCCTTTCCAGGCAGCCCCATCGCCGAGCCAGGGAGAATTAAATGCTTTGAAAGGTTTCTGTGCTGTTTCCTATGGAAAATCAAAGTCCAAGAGCCAGGCTCCGAGCCCGGGGTGAAACAGCTGCTCAAACCCCACTGAAACGTGGTGGGGTCCTGGGGAAGGAGCCCCCTCCCTTGCAGCCAGGCAGATCTCCGGGGCTGCAGTTCCCTCTCCTCCTCCTCTTCTTCTTCCTCCTCCTCCACTCCCCTCTCTTATCCCTCTCTCCCAAGCTCTCTGCCCAGCTCGCATGGCAGGTCCCATACAAAGCCATACTCTGCTGCGTGGTCTCTCTGCCGGAAAGGAGAGCTGAAGAGGGGGCCGGCTCGTTCATCATGCAAATGGATAATTAAAGGAAACCAAGGAACGATGCGTTCATTACTGCAATTTACAGTGTTTGGTAAACAGCCTAATTAATACAAAATAGGCTTGGAGTGGCTGCTGGTGAAGGACTCGTGACTCCTTGCCACAGCTGAGGGGATCGGGACAGGATCACCCTAATTACCTCTTCCAGGGGCTGTTCGTCTTCAGAGCGGCAGCAAGCCTGAAAGCCCTTCCCGAGGGAACCAGCTCCCAAAACCACTGCTCGACAGAGCTCCCAGTTTTCCCTCCCAGCCCCGTACTGCCGGACAGCCCAGGATCCGGGGTCTCTGTCAAGGACAAGCTGCTTCCCTTGGCCCCACCAGCCAGGAAAAAAATAACATTTCACTTGTAAACTGGCCCCTTCTGATCCGAGTCATAGAGTGACAATAACCACTGAGCCCCACAGTGCCTCTTTCACTGGTCCAGGACTGTGTTTGGGGTGTATGGCAGAGCCAGGGACAGGGTCTGGCTATGGTGGGCAATGGCTTCATGCTGCCCCTTGAAAATCTTGGGATGGATCCTTCAAGCGGGAAGGACTGGGCAGCGTTTGCTGCTGGGGGATTTCCAAAGGACGCAATCAAGATAAAATTAAAAATAAACGAAGGGTTCCACTAAGCGGTAGGCAATACCCTTAAAGGATGCTCTGTGCGGTGGGAACCAAAGACCAATGTGGGTTTGCTCCCATCAGCTGCAGCCGAAAACTGCCAAGGGGTTTTGCTGCTGAGAAAGGGTAGGGAGGAGGAGGAGGAGGAGGAGGAAGAGGAAGAAGAAGAAGAGAAGGGGTCCTTACCCATGGCAGGGGGGGCAGAGCAGAGCCGGGTGGGTGATGTCGGGAAGAGAAGGGCTGGATGGAGATACCCGGTGAGTACAAGCACGTTCGAGAGAAGCAGAAACACCTCACAGCCCTGGGGGCTCTTCCTGGAGTTCAGCAATGCCCACTATTTGAAGAGGGAGAGCTCACCCCAAAATCTCATGCCCAGCTCCCTGCTACAAGGGGACTGGGCTGGCCAGTGGGGTCCATTAAGCAGGGCTGGGATGCAGTGGGTGTCCTTGCCCGCTCCCCAGCCCCAGGAGGCAGCTGTCAGCATCTGCACAGCAAAACGCCTGTGTCTTTGCTCCTCTCCCAGAGCAACATTCCTAAAATTAGTTCCCTGCTCCAGCAGCCCAGCAAGGTCAGGACGTGGGGCAGGACCACGCGGACACGGCGTGGGTGGCTGGGAAAGCAGCAGGTCCCAAAAAGCGGAGCCGGGAGCAGCATCCCCTTTGGGGCTCTTCCTGAGCGTGAAAACAGTAACGGTCATACACACCTCGGGCAGGAGGGGAAAGAGCTCATCCCTGGTTTGCAGCTGGGTAAATCGCTGCTTGGGGAGCTGGAAGGTTCGCAGGCAGGCTGGAAGGTAACGCGTGGGTAGGAAAGGGGTCAGACACCCTGGCACTGCGGGGACCAAGGCAGGGGCAAAGAGAAGGGTGGAGGGATGGAGGAGAAAAAAGAGCAGAGCTGGGCAGGCAGGACCCCTTCCCCAGCACCTCTGCACCACACAGCAGTAAAGGCACAGTAAAGCAACCCCAAAGGCAGCTCTGCCTCTGCGGGCAGCACCGCTGGGATGGGGTGAAGCAGCGGGGCAGCATGAGGGCTGCCAAGGGGGTGCCACCAGCCCCCGTCATGGTCCTGGGGACATGGTGACAGGTAGGTACGTGATGAGACCCTGCATCCCTCTGCCTTGTTCCATCCACGTGCTCCTTTTGAACAATTCTGTTGGTTTTCTCCCCCTTTCTTCAGCCCCTTCTCTCCCTGTCGGTGCCCTGGCAGCTCCAGGCTCCCTGGCCTTTCTCACCCAGATATTTTGGGGCTTGAAAGAGGTTGGGCCAAGCCATTCCCAACCCCACAGCCTTCCCAGACGGGCTGGTTGGGAGGTGAGGCTCTGTCTGGGAGACCGCAGACCCAGGCTGGGAAAGGGCTGAGGGGACGGGGCTGATCCAGCCACGGCACTGGAATGGGATGACCGGACCCTTCCCAGCCACACCGTCACCTCCTTTAGGTTTGCACCGGGATGGGAGCACCCACTGGCCTGATCTAACCCCAAGGAGCACGCTCACATCCCGGGGAGATGAACCCAGAAAAACACAGACCCAGCACTCAAACACAAAAAGCCACGAAGGGGATATTTGCAGGGGAAAACCCGGCTTGGCACAACGCTGAGGGTTAACTCCGGCCGTGGGTTCCCCGTGCTCGGCCCCACTCCCCAGCACGACCCCTCCAGGGGGTCCTGCCGGGCTCTCACCCCACTCTGCTTTCCCGCTCCGGCGTGTTTGCCGGCGCCTGCCCGGGCAGGACGAGGCTCGGCAGCGCAGGGCTGGGGCTGAGCGAGGCCTCGAGGGAGCCAGCGAGCTTCTGTGCGGCGTCTGGCTGCCAAGCGGCAGGCGGGAAGCACCTCCGCAGCGCTCCGGCAAATTGCTTACAAATGTAGGGGCCGGCGTGCTGCGCCGGCCGCCGGTCAGGGCAAAGGCAGCATGGCCGCCCGCTCGCCACACAGGGCCGAGACCCTCGCCCACGGCATGCTCCAGATCCAGCCCCAACTCAGGGAGGGGGGAAAGTGCCGACCCTTGGCCTTTCGGACCCTTGCTGATGGAGGGGGACCGGGATGGCACAGCCCTGCACGGCGCATTTCCAACCAGCTTCCCCGACCAAGCAGCCCCCTCCCGTGTGCTGTGCTCCGTGCCTCAGTTTCCCCCGTGGGGATGGGCTGCACCGCCACGGTGGGGACACCAGGCTGGCCTGAGCTCCCCGTGGGGTGCAGGGGGCTACCAGGGAGCAGCTGGATGGGGCAGGAGCCCCACCTGCACCGCTGGCCACCGGCCCGGCACAAACATCTATTTACCCCCGCCGGGATGCTCGCCCGGCGCCGGCTGCATGGAGCCAGGCGTGCCCTCGCCCGGCTCGGCCAGCACCCCCTGTGCCAGCACGCTGGGCCACCCTGTGTCCTTCACTGGAGATCTCATCCCCCCAGGGACACTCTTGGGTGTTGCTTCAAGGGCTGGGAGGCGGACATGATTCCTCCAACCGCTCACCATTCACTGGGAAGGAGTGACACACGCTCGCCCGGGGAAGGAAATGCCCAAATATCCTGTGTTCCCCCGCAAAGTGCCCCTTGGACACTCCTGCCCTGACTCACACAGAGAATGAGGCTCTGGAAAGCAGTGCTTTTGCTGTGACACCGCCCCCCCCTCCCCCAATTTTGTCCACCCAGCCTTTGTCTCTGTGTGCGACAGACAGAGCTACAACCGGAGACCCACCTCCTTGCCAGAGATACCTTGAAAAAAATACACCTTTCTGCTCATCCTGTGTCGCAGACCCTTGTCGCTTCCCCTTGCCCTAGGAAATCACATCCCCACACCGCTGGCTGCAAGTATCCCCGGTGCCATGGCAGGTCTGAGCATCCTTGTACCACGAGCATCCCCGTACTGCCAGCCACGAGCAGCCCTGCACTGTGACCGTCCCTGCACCACGAGCATCCCTCCAGCACCAGCCACAAGTATCCCCGCACTGCTGGCCGTGAGCATCCCGCACGCAGGGATGCTCTGTCTGGGCACTGCAGGAACACCACCCTGCTGCTCCGGGCGATGGGAGAAAGACCACGTTGCTCTGGACACACCAAATACATACACATACCATCTTGGGAAAATAAAATACACTTGGGGACTGCCACCACTAAGCCAATAAACCAGCTGGAGGAGCTAATCAGCTGTGATCTTGCACAGCTCCATTGGCGGTGGCAGCATCCCGGGGCCAGAGGCGGAGGTGGCAGAAAGCAGCAGCTTCACCCGACCTGCCCTGCCTGGCCTCG